ATTACATTTTTAGTATGTTTGCTAATAAATTTTATGCCTAAAAACTTCATTTTGAAGGTAATTTCAAGATAATATTTGTCTTTAGGTTATAGTTTTAATATGCTTTAAAATGTAATTCTTGTTACCAAAGTTTGTTATCTTTGACTTTGCTACTTGTTGAAGAGGACTGCTTTCTCCTTAGGACAACAGCTTGATAAATATTTCGAAAATTATAAGTGAATGTGTGTTTTGGTAAGGGGAGATGAAGGGAGAGCCTTTCAATAATTATTGAAATTAGGAATAAAATATTTTATGTAGTTTGAAATAATTCATAGAAGGCCTTTTTTTCCCTGTTTCTTGTCTACTCAAAGAAGTAGATCCTTGTTACATTATCAATGTTGCAAATGTATTTTTTATGTATAATTTCTGTTTTATGACTGAATTTTTTTTCACAGAGCTTATCAAAACACAATAGAAGCAATATTGGAACTGAAGGTGGACCACCTCCTTTTGTGCCTTTTGGACAGGTAATGACTTTCATGTTGGTAGATAAATTTAAATCAGGAAAAAGTATGTTTCATTTGTATTCAAGCTGTTTTGTTTTGTGCTGAACTATATATTTAGAGGTCATAGAGTTTTATGGAAGTATGAAGTTCAAGGAAACTAATAATTTTGTATTTTTTTTTTTTACTGTAATTAAATTGTTGGAGTTCTCAAGAGCTATTAACCCAAAGATTGAAGCAATTAAGAGCCACATCTGAAGAGCAACTTACAAATAATTAAGATAGGATGGGGTTTTATTTTTTTAAGGGAAATTCAAAAGTAAGAAGATAAAAATATGCCATTATTTCTCATTTTCATTAAAAACATAAGAGGGGCAGAGAAAAGTAAAGCTGCACAGAGTGATCAGACAAAGGTGAGAACACAATAGGCAGGGAAGAGCATCATTGTACTTTAGGAGAGCCTGCTTTTCCCATTGTTCTTTCCAAGATTCTGTTCTTCTTCCTCATTTCAAATACCTATCTTAGTCAGGAATAGGTATTAATTTTATTTCCAGTTGATACTTTCCTATTCAGCAAAGCAGCTTTGATCTTTCTCCTACATAAACTAAAAATTTTCTGTCTACTCTTTATTTTTCAATTCCCCTTGCTACAAAGTGCTACCTTGAGGTAGCTCCTCAGCTGGTCAATATCACTTATGTCTTTCTGGTTGTACTGAGCATTAAATTGCATTTGTAACAATGTCCTCCAACCTTTTCTTGCTTTATCTGTGACAATTCTAAGAAAAATCCCTGTGGTAACTTGCTCTTCACTTGATGATGACCCCAGAATTTAGCTATTGGAAATCCATCTTGCATTTGCTCTTTAATTTTCTTCAAGAGTGCTGGCTAAGAGTGACAATGAGTTGGGGACATAACAGGTAGAAAACAAGCTGGGTACAATGGCTCATGTCTGTAATCCCGACACTTTGGGAGGCCGAGGTCGGAGGATCGTTTGAGGCCAGGAGTTCGAAACTGGCTTGGGCAACATAGTGAAACCCCATCTCTACAAAAAATTAGCCGGGCTTCGTGACACGCATATGTAGTCTCAGCTACTTGGGAGGCTGGGGCAGGAAGATCGCTTGAGCTCAGGAGTTTGAGATTGCACTCTGCCCCAGCCAATAAACTGAGACCCTGTCT